CCAGGATGGCCAAACTTTGTCTCTCATACTTCGGACACATTGTCAGAAGGGACCAGTTGCTGGAGAAGGATATCATGTTTGGTAAGGTGGAGGGTCAGAGTAAAAGAGGAAGACCCCCAAATTAGATGGATTGGCCAAGTGGCAGCATCAGTTGGCTCAAGTGTGGCAACAATAGTGAGGTTGGCCCAGGATTGGTCAGTATTTCATTACGCTTTGCATAAGGTCGCTATGAGTCAGCACTGACTCAATGGCACCTAATAACAACAACAATTAAATGCCTAATAATTTACAATCTATGGTGATATCACTAATTTAAATACAAGTGGATAATATTATGGAAATCTACTTTTTAAAAGCAAGTAGGACTTAGATTAACAAAATTATTCATAAAATCCCTCAGAAATGATTTATGAATAGTATGTTTGATGGGTATAGATTCTAAAACCATCTCAGAGTCTTTAGGTAAGATATAAAACATTTGTCAGTCTATGTTAATAGCACCTTGTTACTGCTGTTAAGTGCCTTCGAGTCAGTTCCCACTCATAGTGACCCTGTATACGATTTCCAGGGTTTTAAATCTTTGCGGGAACAAAACAACTCATCTTTCTCCCATGAAGCAGCTGGCAGGCTCGAACCAAGGACCTTGTAGTTCACAGTCCAGTGCTTATCTTTGGAGCCAATATGCTCTCCTATCACCTAGTACTATTGATAATTCTTCAGATATTGGCCCCAAGTGATTCTTACAATTGTCTACCTGAGAATCACTGGGGAACCTTGTTAAAATGTAGCTTAGATTCCCTATATCTGATGTGGAAATGCAAATTCTCAACAGAAGGCAGAACGTGAATGAACCAGTTCAAAGCTCTCGTATTTCCAGTCATCTCAGATGCTTGAAGAAAACTGGATGATGAATAAAGAAAATGAAAGAAAAATGTTGATGCCTTTGAATTATGGTGTTGGCAAAGAATATTAAATTTACCATAGACTGCCAGAGAATGAACAAATGAGTCTTGGAAGAAGTACAGCCAGAATGCCCCTTAGAAGTAAGGAGGAAAAACTTCTTAGATGCTTTAAACATATTACCAGGAGGGACCAGTCCCTGGAGAAGGACATCATGCTTGGTACTGTAAAGGGTCAGCGATAAGCTGACACAGTGGATGCAACAATGGGTTGTAGCATAGCAGTGTTGCTGAGGAGGGCACAAGACGGGGCAGTGTTGATTTCTGTCGTACATGGGCTTTCTGTGATTCGGAACTCACACATGACACCTAAAACAACAAGGTAAGAATTGGCTGTCCTATGTAGCAGAAGAAATACCTAAGTCATTCCCAGCTTATTGTTGTTGTTGTTGTTATGTGCCGAGGAGTCGGTTCCGACTCATAGCGACCCTATACAGGGTTTCCGAGGCTGTAAATCTTTACGGGAGCAGAAAGCCTGATCTTTCT